CCCCAAAACCCCAAAACCCCAAAACCCCGAAAGACTCTTATTATCAAAATAAAAATTAATTAGTTATGAATGGATTAATAGAGTCATAATCAAAGAATAATGATGGTTTTTAGTTCAGTTTAATTATTAAATTAAGGTTCAGAATATTTAGCTTAATGATAATATGTTAGGATAGTGATCCATAACAAATATTTGCTTCATTAGTTATTATATATCTTATTAATAGGTAAACTAGATAACTAGCCATAACCTGGGTAAATTTATCTTCCTAGTGACATCTATTCCAATGGTCCCCACCAGAATGGTATAAGATAAGTCTCTAACTAATTTTATGAAATCCAGTCACTTAATACTGCTTATATGTAAGCATTGGGGCCGGACACCCGAATTAGGGCTGCATTGTCATTATTCTAGCCAAAATTTATTTAATTGACTGTTTTTTCACAGAAGATATTATTTCTGCTGGGTTAGTAGCCATCTGGGCATTTTGTGTAGCATACCTGACCGTAAAGTATATATCCATTAGCACATTTGTCACAAGCATTTGCAGTAGTCTTAGAACATTGAAGACAGTTAGGATCACATCCAACACACTTATATCCTTTTTAGATATATGGTAATGGACATTCTGCGATACAATTTGTTCCAATAAGATAACCAGATGAGCAGGAAGAGCATTAAGTTTGAGTTGAAGAGCATGTAGCACATTAAGAAGAGCAATTTTTACAAGCAAAGTTAATAGAAACTTGTCCCGCTTGACAATTGCTTAAGCATTTATTTCCAGATAAGTATTGATAAAAGCCATTTGAATTGCATGAAGTGCAATTCATTGGGGTAGATTCGCAAGTTTTGCAATTTTAATCACAAGCAGCACAAGTGGATTATGAATTTGCATAGTAACCATCAGGACAGGTTCCATAGCACATGTTATTTCCAGAATGGAAGTTTGGATATAATCCTGTGTTGTTGCATGTCAAGCATTTACCAGCTTAATTGCATGTTAAACATTTATCATCACACCTTTTGCATATTTAGTTGTCTCCAGCATAGAAGCCTGAAGGACAAACAGGCATACACTTATTGCTGTAATAGTATTTTTCAACTTGGCTAGAAATATCTGTAAAGCATGATAAGCAAGAAGATATGTCAGTAGTAGAGCAGGTCTTACAGGGAAGTGCGCATGCAAAACTTGGAATTAATCCCCAAGTAATTTAATCAATCTTATAGGTAAAAGAATTATCAGTGTATGACGTTAGTTAGAAAGATTAGAAGATTTAAGTGTCTGTAGGATTATTAATTGGTCCTAAATAAATTTAGATTTGCTAGCCTCCACTTGATACAGCCTACCCAAAACCATCTTAGACCTTTATCTTTTAATTAATTTTGTCTACAATACAGCTCATGCCGTACTTTACGTCATTGTAAACGATATAGCATGTTGTGAGAGTACTGGGAACATTTACTGATGAAGGATAGGCAATTTCATAAGCAAAATTTGCAGCCATTCTATTAATATTAGTATATGTAATCGTATATGTAGTTGCACTGCTACTAGAGGTAACACCTTATACTAATGATTTAGAGGTTACTGTTGCTGGAGTTGTCATAGTAATTTTAGCTAGACCATTAAATGCTTCAAGAGCACTACTAGTTTTATCATAAAGTTATATTGCAGTGAAACTAGAGGATTCCTAAGTATTTGGGGGATTAGCTAGAGATCCAATTTTGAAAATAATTTAAGTACCTTGAGTCTATTAACCTCCAATAAAAGTAAAAACTACTTTAATACCATTGCTATTTGATATTTTTGAGCAAGATACTTAAATAAGATTTTATACTGCTTAACAAGTGAATATGCCATCCGGTAAAATTATTTCAGTAGGTAATAAGAATGAAATGTAATCACCTGTGGAAAGAGCTTATGAGGATTATATAGTAAATACATAAGTAGCTAATGCTCCATTCACAAAGCTATCTGGAACTGCTTAAAAGAGGATCATATTTGATAATGTTAACATTGTAGCTGTTATTCCTGTTTAAATTGCTTCTAAATCTACTCCAGATGAAGTTTTGAAAAAAATTTCAAATGAGTCTGTTGGTGCTAAACTTCTTGGATTTTTCATTCCCCCTAATGTTATTAAGAATGAGCCTGTTCCACCACCAATGAATGCAGATGTGAATAGATCAGAGCATATTACATTTACAAGCCCACTAGCGTTTGTCGTAATGCAACCATTAAGTGTTCTCGTAGTGCCTGAAATAGTTGTGGTAATTGGTGATACAGAGATACCTGAATTCGCTAGCTATATTTACAAAGGAAAAATGAATTTTAGTTTTGTGCCAGCAGCAACATTACTCTAAGGAGTAATTTAGAAAGTATATGAAGAAGGTTAAGCATTAGTAGCATAACTAGATATTGTTGTCAAAATTACTTTCCTTAATTTTTCAGTTGGTGTGAATACATTTGTGAATGAAGTCTCATCTATAGGATAATCGATTGAGTTAATAGTAGCATAGGTCTGAACTGTAAATGTCCCTGCGTCTGAAACTGTGCTTGGGTTCGTACCTCCGTTACTGAACATAAAAGAGAAAGCTGGTCCACCTTTAGTAAAGGTTGATGTTCCAAATGGATTTGTCAAAGTGAGAACATTACTACTCATTTAACAAGAAGAAGGACTAAGACTCGCTGTTGAAACACTTGAAAGAGTGCAAAGACCTCCAGTCATGACCATAGATGAGGGGAATGTGATCCGAATTTTAGAATTAGAAGGAATACTATGAGTTGGCTTTAAAGTTAGTTTATAAGTAGATTGTTCATTAATCGTACTGATAGTAGGAGTAAGAGAAAATCCAGTGACAGTTCCTGTTGTTAGGATATTATTAGGTACTGTGATTCCTGTTGTAAGTTCTGCTATATTGTAGGCAACGCTGCCTACGATTGAATACAGCTTTAGTGAAAATGTCATTGTCGTTTTAATGAAAGGAGTGTTTAAGAGCTGCGCTAGGTTGACTGTTGAGGTTAGCCCACTTTCCGCATATGTAGAGCACCCATTTATAGTTGCTGTCTAAGTAGATATATCTTTAGTTGCAATTGTTGCTGATGAAGCAGTACTTAGCAAATTAGTTCCACCTGTGAAAGTTGCTAAAGCAGAAGTCACAGGCTAATCTGGTGGGAATCCTATAACTAGTCTACAAGATGCATCTGTCGGTAAATCTAGAACAAAAGAAATCTTCATTGTGGATAACTCCTCTACTGTAGAGATAGTGTCTACTCGGCTTATTGATCCACTATTAATTTGTGCCATTGAATTAGTTTGGATAGCTAGTGCTATAGATTCAACTACGCAGTTTTATGAGTCATATGTTGATAGATAGAAACCACTTTTAGGGACTCCATTGTAGGGATTTCTAAAACCTGTTACTGCAAAGCTAATAATTGTGAAAGAAGGTACAGCTGAAGTGATGCCTATAGATAGAGTTAATGTTGTAGTATCATATGAACAAGCTAAAGATCTAGGTAGGAAATCAACTCCTGTACAAGTTGGAGATGTTATCATATGTAATTTAGTAGATGAACTAGGATTCCAGTACGGGAATACCATGTTTATTACTCCTCCAGCTGCCAATTGATTAACAACAACAAAAGAAACTGTCAATGTATTGCCTGATGAACCTACTATTTATGAACTTGAACTTATCATTGCAGTTGTTATTTTACCACCAGTAAATCCTGTAATTCTGCCTGTTTAGTATTATGCTTAGGTTGTTCCTGTACTGTCAAGTAGCTAGGCTTAAACAGATGCTATATCGCAGCTTGAAGCTGGATTATTGAAATTCTGCACTGTCATTACTAACTTAGATGGCGACCCTGAGATAGTTCCGACTTTAAGCTAAAAGGAATTCGTATTAATTGTGCAGGAAGTAATTGAAAGCATATTGCTTGTAAAGACTGTAACTGCACTCTAAAAAATAAAATTAGCTATTAATTATCAAAACTTAAAGATTAGAAGATTGTAAAAATATAAGTTACTTACTGCTGTGCATAATGATGCTCCAGTAGCTACTGTAAAGGAACCAGGGAACGGTATATTAAACTAAAGAATATCTCCTGTCTTGAAAGAAGTTCTTGAACTTGATGCACTTGTGTCTAGTTAAGCTGTGATTATGAGTGTCGTTCCGGCTGTATTTATTACTGTCGCATTTGGAACTATAGTAATACTAGCAAACTGAGATGCAGAACAACTTGTGCAAATAAAATTTTAAGAGCATTATCCTGTTGGACACAATGAAGCACATATATTATTTGAAAGGTATGGCAAAGTACTTGTAGTATCACAGTAGTTGCAAGCAGTATCACTTGAGCAATACTTACACCCAGTTGGACAAGCTTTGCAAATATAGTTATCATTATAAGTACCATCAGGACAAGTTGATATACATGAAAGACCAGTTGAATAGTAATAAGGAAATGCTGAATCTGTAGAAAATGGCATGCAAGTTAGACACTAAGTTTTAGATAAAGTGTTGCAAGTTTTGCATGGATAAGTACATTCAAAATCAGGAATTAGTCCTGAAGTTGCCATGTCGTATACATAAGTATATGAGCTTGAGGTATAAGATTGAATTGAAAATGAATTAGTTGTAAGTTTATTTGTGCTAGGATTAATTAATGGTCCAAATTACACCGAAATATTATCTCCCTTTGCTACGGCCTGTGAAAATCCTGATTGAATTGAAATGATTCTCGCAGAAGTATCAATTATACAGCCAGACATAGAATATGTTACAGAGTTGTAGATTACATTGCAAGTGGAAATATATCCATTTGAACTTACACTTGTCGGATAAGTAATCTTAAAAGACCCTCCTGTTCTCATAGCATTCATGGTAGTATAAGTGATTGTATATGTGGTTGCAGTGCTCAAAGTTTTATCAGTTTAGTTTAAAATTTTTGTTGTGACAGTAGCTGGAGTAGTATCTGTGACTTGTACAAAACCTGAAAATTCAGCAAGTTTTGAATCACTTGAATCTTTCATTTATACAGATGTAAAAGCTGATGTTGGAGTAGTACTAGGAGGATTTATGATATTAGAGATCTTGAACGAAAAAGCGGTACTTTCTACCAATGCACCTCCAGAAAATTAAAACACTGCAGTGACTGTGTTTCCAGTAGATAAGCAAGTTATTGATAAAATATTAGAAACTGCAGCACATGTTATTGAACTAGGAACTGTGATCTCTGCTGGGAAAGTGAAGGTAATCTTATCAGTTGAAATTATACGAATTGGAGTTGTAACTGTGAATGTATAGTCAGTAGCAGCACCATTAATACCACTGGATTAGGCTACTGCAAATGATGTGATGTCTGGGACTTGATTCATCTAAATATTTGTACCAGATGCTGACTTTGCTATTTCATATTCTTAAGAATCAGTTATAGTAATAGAGAAAGAACTTGTGACAGCAGTTGATCTTGGATTTCTAAAATTACCAAGAGTAAGCGAGAATACGGTAGTTTTAGAGGTGTAGGCTGTGGTGAATCCACCAGTAACTAGAACAGTTAACGGGAAAGTTTAGCTAAGTGTGCAAGTTGGGGAACTTCCAGCTATTGATAGTGTGCATTTTGTTAAGGAGCTTCCAGTAATCTCACTTGGAAAAGTAATTTTTATGTTTCCTCCGATCGGGATTATCTATCCAGGAGTTATTGCAAAAGTATAGTCTGTTGGGGAATTATTAACGATAAAGGAAGCTGGAGTTGCAATAGCAGTTAAAATCGCAGCTGTTGGAGTATAGACATTAGTAAAAGAAGAGGAATCAATAATATAGTCAATGCTAGACTCAGTATAATAGGTAGATACGGTGAATGTACCAGCATCTCTGACAGAGTCAGGGTTTTTACCTCCGTTACTGAACATAAAAGAGAAAGCTGATCCACCTTTAGTAAAGGTTGATGTTCCAAATGGATTTGTCAAAGTGAGAACATTACTAACAACATGGCAACCAGCTCCAGTACTAATTGGTGCAGAAACAATGGTCAAAGTACAAATAAGATTCATTAAAGAAATACCAATAGGGAATTCAACTCTTATTTTAGAACTTGATGGGATGGAATGAGAGGGTTAAATCTGAAGTTTATATAGAGTGGAGTCAGAGACTGTAGTTGATGTAGCAATCAATGCAAAACTTTGAATTTAGCCTGAGGTCAGCATTTATGCAGGTACAATTAATCCAGCAGTCGATTAAGCAATATTATATTAAACTCCAGCTTCAAGTGCGTAAAGTTTAATTGTAAAAGTACTAGTGTCTTTCACTTTGGCAGCATTTAATACTTTTTCTAAGTAGAGATACATTCCTGAAGACTGGGTAGTTTGTATAAAATTTGGACATCCGTCTAATGCAATGTAATTTTGAACACTATTCGTGAAGGAAGTAGTTCCTTCAGTTCTTACTATAGATTCATCGCCCAAAATAGTCACTAAATCACTAGTTACAGGCTAGTCAGAAGGAAAATCGATTCTAAGCCTGCAATCAGCATCAATTGGAAAACTAAGACCTAGAACAAAATTGAGTATTGATGCTTCTTCGATTGTATTCACCTAATCATATCTATAAATTATAGCACTATTGAAAGAAGCAAAATCAGTTACTTGTAAAGTAAGTCCACTGATAGTATCAATTTCCTAATTATACTGATCTAGAGTTGTGATTTTAAATGAAGATTTCTTCTTGCCATTGTATGGGTTTTTGAATGGGTATATTGAAAAGGTTAAAGAAGTACCATAACTTGTAGAACTAACTGGATTTTTAACAGTCAGAGATTTTGAATTAGTATCATAAATGCAGGTCATAGAGCTACTCATTCCTGACACAGAAGCACAAACGGGTGTTGTAGTCACAATCATGTGATCACTATTTGAAGTATAAAATGGCAAAACAAGAATCACAGAGCCAGTGCTTGACAAGGGATTTCTTGGAGTAAATGAGACCTAATTTAGGGATTATCATAATTCAATTTACCTTTAAAGAAGCATCATTGTCTCCTACAGTATTACTAGTAGATTCTAGTGAGGCAGTAGGTATATCAGCTGCTATAAAATTTATACTAGTTGATGTTCTTGTAGCTAAAAGAGAACCACTTCTATAAATATCTGCTTTAATTGAAGAAATTTTTTAAGCAGAAAATGGGTTTTGATATCCATTACTAATAGTCATTCTAAATTAAGATGGAGATGTAGAAACTATAGTAATTGCAGCTCTTATTGTGTTTGTGGTATATGAACACGCTATTGTATATTAATTTGAGGCTCCCTAAAACATTATTTGATTCTTTGAATCTAACTTACAGACTAGCAAGATGCAGAAGTCATCAGAGAGCCAACCATTGGAGTTGGAAATGTAAACAGCAATTCATCAGCAGTTGCAAACGCAAATTAATTTGGGGTCACAGTAAATGTCATTGATCCAGTTGCACCTACTGCTAGAGGTGAAAAGTTTAGACCCAAAGTTATTGATTAAGAATTTGCCACTGGAACTATAAACTCACAAAAATAATTAGAGAGATCTATTTACCTAAATTCTCGAACATGGTGAAAATAGCTAATATTGCTATTAAATGCGGAAAGAATTTATGAAGCATTTTAAGCCTCATTTAATAAGGAGGTTTGCTTTACTGAATATATATGCCGGATATATAAGTAGATATTTTTCGCAAAAACTAAAAGGGCAAGTATTAAATGTAGAAAAAAGTACCATATTTATTGAAAATTGGTTTTAATCTCTGATTTTGATAGTTATTTTTTGAATTTGTATAATGGTATTATTAAATGATACATTTTTATAAAGAAGGGATTCTCTATTTACAATACAAAATTAAAATTCAACTATATTATAAATCAAATTGGCAAAAGTTCGGGGTTTTGGGGTTTTGGGGG